TTATGATGTCAGTTTCTTTCTTAGAGTAACCAGTGATCTGCCCCCTTAACCTTCTTGCAAGTCTCTATAACCAGGGCTAATCTAAATATTTGTTACAAGATTGGTCAGGAGATATAGGAGACAGACTTCTGAGATGTAGAATTAGTGGAACAAATGGTTTGGAAAGAGAAGTTCCCAGGGAGGTACCACAGCATCATTGCAAGAAATGTCCAGTGTCTCCTTAATGCACACTGTCAACTGTAACCAGGATGTGACAGTGCCTGGCTTTCTTTGTGAGGGACACACAGGTTTGAAAGTGACCATATGTGAGACAGTGCATTGACTGCCATTGGTTCCAAATTCTGGAACTCTCTCCAAGCAGGCATCTTGATTCTGGGTCAAAGTCTCCTTGGCCATACAATATGTGAAATGGACTCTTTTACAGTCATGACAGGCTTGCTAAGGAAAAACCCAGTGCCTATCTCACAAATCTTCCTTCTCAGAGAGAGGCCGAAGGCACAAAGCCACATTCTAGGCTAACTAGAGAGGATAATCATCATATGTTTGTATTACATTACAATTTAGCAGATAAAAAAGACTCCAGGAAAGCATGAGGTAAGAAATATAGGATAATCATCTCTAAAATAGAGTGGGAAGGAAAGAAATTTGACATATGTTTATGATACTTTGTTTGATAGACCAAAAAAAAAAAAAAAGGCCAACTGAAACTCTCTAGTGTTGTAGGCCTGGCTAGCTCAGTTGGTAAAGCATGAGACTCTTAATCTCAGGATTGTAGGTTCGAGCCCCACATTGGGCACCAGATGAAGATGGATGCTAAAAAGAAATTCCAAACTAGCTCAGAATTGAGTATAATAAAGGGTTATTTATTTAGATGCAGACTCACAGACCATAGTCCTCTGCTTAAACAGTGAACAGCAACTGAATTCAAAAGCCAAAAGACAGTGGGAGTGCACACTTTACATCGGTGTTTATAGTATAAGAGGCCACGCCCAAGTGGGCTGGTAACTTAAAGGCTACTGGCTGAAGGAGTTCCTACAGCATTCTAGGATATGTGAAAATATTCACATTATAGATGTTATAGGTAGGATTTAAACTGCTATTAGCCAGGTGTGATGCCACGTACTTCTGTCCCAGCACTCTTGGAGGTAGAGATGGGAGAACCACTCACTTGAGGTGGGTCTGAGCTACATAGTGAACACCTGTCTCACAACAAAGCAAAAGAAGAAATAAAATGCCTATTATCACATGGCATAAGCCTAGTTATATTCCCACACCAAGACAAAAGAAAGAGGAAAAGGAGAAATTGAGACAAAATTTAAGACAGAGGGATTTTGAGAATACATGGAGAGGTAAATACTAGCAATGATGGGACCAGATGTGCCATTTTCTTCTCCCCATTTCTGATTGTCTAATTTTGCTGAAATAGTCACGGTTCTTAAGAGGCAGAAGGCAAAATTTTAATGTTCTTAGATTGGAAAGGTTTTATATCTATTAACATTTTTTCAAAAATAATTGGGGACGCCAATTAAGAAAAGTTATCTTGTTAAATTGCAACAGAAATGACTTATGACAGATGGTGTTTACCATTAGTTGAAAATGCCGATGGGGGGAGCTGTCTCCTAATATACCCATTATATGTTGAAGATATTAAAGCTCGAAAGTGCATTGAATAGCTGGGCATGGTGGCCCACACCTGCAATCTCAACTCTCTGGAGATGAGGACAGTAGAATTATCCCTTGAAGGCCAGCTTTGGGTACCTAAGACTCCATCTCCAAAAGCCAAACAAACAAAAAATGCAATTAAAAAGTGAAAGCTTAGAAACACAGTGTACCTTGGAGGGTCTTTTGTCCCCCTGCTCCATGACTGAGCTGGCTGGGAGCTGTAGCTCACCGGGGCTGCCAGCAACAGAAGAAAGTAGCCAAGGACGTTATTGCTAGCCTGGGAAAAGATCAGAATTCAAAATCAGAATTAGTTGCTGCTTACTGGCTTTCCACCAGAGTGAAGATGAATGGTGGGCACTGGAACTACCATGGGTCAGGAGCTGCCTGTAGCTTGAACTAGGGGACTCTGTGCTGCGCAGTGATGATTAGGATTATGTTATTAACCCCCCTGAGGCTTCAGTTACTAGTGCTTCTCCCCAGACTGCTGTATAGTGAGTGCCTGGCTTTCTGGCTCACTTGACTTCATTCTCCTTCTCCGAGCACAGTGGAGTCTGTAATTGGATATTTTCCTAGGACTAATGTCCTTCAGACTGTCCTTTGCCCATGTGGTTCTTATAACTTAGGCTGTAACCTAAAATATGCAGAGGACTTCACTGGGGCTGCCCACACACACCCGAGCCAGCCCTGAATTATTCTGTGCGGTGAAGAACACAGAACTTGAAGTGACAATGTTGCCTCAGAATGAAACTCATAGCCTCAAGATCCCCCTTTTCAACTGTGTCATGAAATTTGAGGGATGTGGGCCATTCATTTTAATGTTCCTAATAGTCTCAAATTATAACATAGTGACCCCCCCAACCCACAGCAGTACAGGCAGAACTACTAGTCTGTAGAGTAGATGAGCTCCCAAGATATTTTGGTAACATCTCAAGGAACGAGCTAACCCACATCTCTCCCTGTTGTAATTGTTAATGTAGACAGCAGCTATCTATGGGCTTTCCAGGGCCCAGAAGCTTTCTCTGTTGACTGCAAGAGTTCTAGCCGAAGCCAGGCTAAGGAGGCTATTGCTATTGCTGAGTCCTAGTAATACAGCAACTATGGTTGAGGCTTGTCATAGGGTTTTTTGTTGTTATTGTTTGTTGTTGTTTTTTTTAAGACAGGGCCTCACTATGTAGTCCAGGCTGGCCTTGAACTCACAAAGCACCTGCCTCTGCTTCCTGAGTGATAGCATTAAAGGCCTGCATGCTCTCTGATTCTCTCTGTTTCCCTCCAGTGTTGTGTGTGTGTGTGTGTGTGTGTGTGTGAGAGAGAGAGAGAGAGAGAGAGAGAGACAGACAGACAGACAGACAGACAGAATGGTGTTTTCATCTAATCGACCCCAGAGATAAGCTCCACTGAGCATTATCTAAAGAAGGATCAAGTACATGGCTATTTCTACTCAGTGGAATACTTATTTTTTTCATCACAGTACTGGGGATTAAACCTAAGGTCTTACAATATTCTAAGCAAATGTTCTACCACTGAGCTATCCCATCCCCCTTTTTACTTTTAATTTTGAGACCGGGCCTCACTAAGGTGCCTGAACTGATCTTTAACTTGCAATTGTTCCTCTTCAGATTCCCAAGTAGCTAAGATATAGGTCTGAGCAACGGAGACCAGCTAAGAATACTTGACAGTAAAGAGAGTGATCCATGTGACTTCTATGGGCAGATCTCACAGATTTGATGCTGAGTGGAAAGGACAGTTGTTGAAGCATGTGTGTATTGTCTATTTGTTTATACTTGCATTATAATTATAAAGAACAAAAACAATCAATAGATCTGGAGTGGTAGAAGTCAGAGTAGTAGTCATCTTAGTGGGTGAGAAACAAAGATGGGTTTCTAATGTTAATTAGACTTTGTTAATAATGGGTAACTAATGTTTTCTATGAATAGGTACTAGTTAGTAGGAAAAAGTTATTTAGAGCTTTCAAAGCTGTAAGCTTAAGATATGTGCCCATGGGGGGACATGTCTCCTTTTATTCATTTGCTTCAATAGAAATAATACATAATAAAAACATATGTATTCAGGGTATGTGTGCTTGATAAATGACTATGTAATTCTTATGCACATAGCACGCAGTACTTTAATGAAAAGTTATTTGAAACAAAATATGAAGATTTATGGAAGCATCTGAAACAACGAAATGGAAGTTAGACAGAACAGGCTCAATACATATGGTTAACCCTTCTCCTGGGCCCTGGCTCTAGCCCCAAAGGGTCTTGGGGCAGTTGGCTGTGAGCCATCTTGGATGATGGAGGAGTATTTTTTACAGGAGCTTAGCGGTCTCATTTGTTGTCCTCTGTGTTCTACAGCACTAGGCAGGGCTCCTGACCCCTCAAAGTCTCTCACGTGGGAGCTCGGTAAGTACTTGTGGAGTCCCCAGGTCAATGAAAGAACACAGTAATAGATGGTAGCACATCCTGGGGTAAAGGTAACAGAAGCCGAAAAATGAGACTCAGCGGTCTCCTGAGCCTTCGGGGCTCTCTCCCTGGGAAGCATCAAACCCTGCTGTCAGTATCTACCATCACCTTCCTGGCTTTCTTATTTTAACTGTAATTAAAGTTTCAGTCTGGCTCTGTGTGACTTTGTGACCATGGGAAATGTTTCATCTCCAAGATGGTGCGGATAGCAGGAAGGTTTGGTCCAGAAAACGCTCACCCTGCAAGATGTAGAGACGAGTAGCTCCCGGTGCGGGGACCACGCCCGCTTTCTTCTGCCATTAATATGTAGTATTGCCTGCCTAAAATTCAAAGTGACTGACCTTAGAGGCAAGCCAGCTGTTGGAAGACAATCCTCTCACAGAACACCATGAGAAATTTCACCCAGTTTTCAAAATCCAGACAGAACTTCCCAGCAACTCTCCCTTAGAAAACTGAGTACAGAGAAGACCACATTTGGGGATAAGGAGCACAGACTTCTGAGTTATTTGCCCTCTTGAGCATCTCCCTCATGAGAAACAGGGGCACAGGTCCACGTGCAGCCACGAGACAACCAAGATCTTGTTGTCATGTGCATATCTCTGCGGAAGAGAGGAGGGTGGTGCCCCTACAGTTTTAGAGCACAGTTAAGTGATTATCCTACAATTCAATGCTACTGACGCCAGCTGTACATTTGCCGGGAGGAGAATGGAACAAGGTCCGTTTTTACAGAAAAAGAGATCTCAGAGTGCAATGCTGGGCCAGACAGCATGCCATGAGTTCACTGTCCTTGGCAACGAATGGCAACAGGGATGGGAGAGCAGCAGCTGCCCGGAAACTCTGCAGCAGGAAGCGGCACCACCCACAGCATCGGAAAACAAGCCAGAAGGGTCATGTGGGCCCAGAGTAGGATCTGTCTAGGCACCTGCTGGCTTGGCCTTCCTCTGTCTCTGTGTCTGAGGCACATTCATCCGTCACGACGGGAAAGGTAAGTTATAAACTGTCAAAGTATCAGGGTCATACAGAGGAGTCATGTTCCTATTCCAAGCCCGTGAGATTGTGGAGCATTTGCATCGGAAGGGGGCATGAGGATCGCTCCAAGGTGGCCTTACGTTGTCGGGGTATGAGAATAAAAGCGGTCAAGACGATGAGTTGTGCCCGTGACGTGGAGGAAAGGGGCGGGGCTGAAATCCAAAGAGACCGCTGGTGCAGGCCCTACTCTCCTATCTGCTGCTCTCAGCTACGAAACACCGACAGTTAAAGCATCGAGTGGAGGGATACAAAGTCTTCAGTATGAATGGGCCCTCGGACTCTGGCGGACCCTAAGAGAAACAGAGCTGAGTCGGCCGCAGCGTTTCTATCCCAGATAGGCTGCGGTCTTTGTTTTGTTTATTTGTTTGTTTTTCACCTCTTGGTGCCTCTCCCCCCCCCCCCGAAAATAAACACAGCCTTCATCCCCAGAAGAACAGCTAGAGGATTACCAAAGGGGTGCACAAGGTGACAAGTGCTGCTGGACACTGCGTGGCTTTGCAAGCAAGCTGAGCCAGCATCAGCAACGCTGCTAGGGCAGATAGATGATCCCAACAAGACAATTGTTCTTCACAGACAAGGCCCTCCAACAGCATGAAAGCTACTATCCCGCTTGCTCAGGTACCTGGAAAACTGGTCCTGCCTTGCTACTTACTAGCTAGAACATTTATCCTCCACCCCCAATGCATTCTGCTCCTTAAATAACCCATCGTGTGTTTACTAAGTGCTGTTATGTGTCAGGTACTGTCCTGAGAGGTTTCCATGCATCTTCCACTTGATCCTCCCCACAGCTCTGGTAGAGGGGTAATATCTTTATGGCCATCGCACAAATAACGAAATGGCCATTTATGAAGAGTGAGGGACTTCCCAAGGCCACAGAGCCATCTGACGTCCCAGCCCTGCCATTCTGGCGTCTTATGTCCCACACCCTTCTGAAATGATCATGTAACAGAATCAAGGCTCTGCTACCACCTAGCATCTCAAAGGCCCTGAATCCAGCAGCAAGGGTTTGCAAACTCCCCTCTGGCTTTTGGGTTTTTAAAAAGACTAAATGAAAGGGTGGGGATTGATCATCGTAGGAACAGAACGCAAGTTCAGGGAGTTTGGAAAAACATAAGCCAATAGACTTCAAGCACGCTTTTGTGGAATTAGTTCTAGAACATAAAATCCGATCACTCTTGTGGACAATTGCACGGAATGAAGACAAACACAGCACACTCCCTGAACAAACATTCCCCACACGGGGTGGTTCCTGTGGAAACAATAAAAATAATCCAATTTAGTTCTGCAGCGTTCACCTTCCCCAGACTGTAGTTAGTGCTGCTTCAAAGAGGGAGGCAGGAAAAGTAAACCACATAAAGCTCCAGAAGAATACACCGGCTGCCAGAAAAGAACCATGCCTCTCTTTCTCATCCGTGATTTCCAACTCTATTTTTTTATTAGACGTAACTTCCCTGGATCTGCTCAGCCCTCGCACTACAACCCCATATGTTCCATCTTCATTCCATTGTCCAGTGTGTGAAATGGGTACTCAGAAATACTCTTGTTGATTGATCTGGCCTGCTTTTGTCTTTTTCTTTATCTGTTCTTTCACCAAAGGACTCTTTTCTCTCGGGGGAAATGGCTGGAAACAAGATGTCTGTATGCTAGTGAGACTTGTCCACATTGGTGGACAGCTCTCTCTAGGTACTAATAGGAGTTGGCAGAGTAATTCCTCCCATCACTGGTCAAGAGTCCCTTCCCCGCCAACAGGAGACTGGGAGGGTGAACTATTGGTACCCACACATTTGTGGGTATTTGACAGGGTGATAAATGTTAGTTCAAAGGAGAAACAAGAACATCATTTGAAAGCTATGGGAATCTTACAAAAAAAAGGGGGGGGGGGGGATCTTACAAAAAAAAGGGGGGGGGGGGGAAGATTGACATTAAATGTTCCAGATTGGACATCTTCTTAGCCAGTGATCCAAAAGGCATGACTTTGTACCATGTTCTTAGGCAAAAAAAAAAAAAAAAAAAAAAAAAAAAAAAAAAAAAAAACCTGAAATGCATTGTCAAGAGGGGCATGCAAGCTGGGAGGAGAGGGAACTGTCAGAAACCTCCACCTCTCATTGGTATGTGTTGTTTGTGGTGGCCTCAGGGACACATGGCCTTAAGAGACCTGAACTTACTGTCAAATGTCTTGTTGCATTAAATCCTCCTCCCAGTTTCTCCCTAACGGTTCTGTGGAGGTCAGTACTCTAGAGCCCTCATGACCATCCTTCTGGGGTAAGGGTTTTGAAGCAGTTACATCTTTCTCTTCTTTATTCTGATTGCTTTATTTCTTTGTCACTCATCAGCTTCAGTTCTGTAGGGTCTGGTTTTTATTTTTGTTTTTTTTTGTTTGTTTGTTTGGGGTTTGGTGTGTGTGTGTGTGTGTGTGTTTAAATTGTCCTTGTTTACCAGTGCTTTTAAAAAAATAGAGTACCTTGTTGGAGATCTTGATCAGGGTTCTTCTTATCAAGGGCAGAAGCTAAGATTAAGGAATTTGTTTTTGTGTGTGTGTGTGTGTGTTTTTTTTTTTTCAATTTAGAAAGAGTTGTTGGCTTGTGGTGAGTTTACTGGGTTCAGGACACTTGCCCATCTCACAGGATAAAGTGAAGCTCAAACACCGTGTGAATAGAACTCTAGGCTAGTGGCTATCCTCTTTTGTATTGGTTATTAAAAACTTAAGAGTTCCCTAGTGTTCAGTTTTGATATGCAAATTGTATATTATCTGTTGGAAGGCATCCATTCATCTTTTATCTTTGTGCATATCACACCAGCCGAAGCACTGGCAAGCTTTGCTGCCATTTCTAGAATGAAGGTGTGTCCATCCATTCTGGAGGGAAGGTGCCTATTTCTGGAGAATTGGACAGTTTCTTCCAGCCCACTACGAAGATACAGGGTTTGGTACCTGTCTTACAATATACTAAGTGCAGATGTCACTAACCCTCACCTCTTCCATCCTGTGGGACTTGGAGCTCAGGAACTGGTTCAAGAAAAGGACACTACAGTTTTAACTCTAGCTCTAAGATTTTTGTCCCCAAATTGCAAATTTTGTGTCCTTTGCCAGCATCTAAGAGTGTGGCAGGCTCACTTGTTAGCTTGATTGTAGGATAAAATCTCAGCTCCCTCATTACTCTTTTGTGTTGGGGGAGGGGAGACATGCATGCACACGTATGTATGTGTCTGAATATTCTGGTCATGTATGCACATGAAGAAATCAGAGGCGAGAACCTGATGTCCTGCTTTACCACCCCTATCATTAATCCCTTCAGTTGGGGTCCCTCACTGAACCTGAAGACAGACTGGCAGTCCTAGCAGCATTCCTGTCTCTGGTCTCCACAGCAACTGGGCTATAGGTGGTCACGCCTGGGTTTTTACGTGAGTGTTGGGGATTTGAATCCAGGTCTTCATGCATGGTAAGTACTCTTGCTTACTGAGCCATCCCCACTCTCCCTTTACTGTTTCTAGTATCTTCATGTTTCTGTGTGCACATGCCTGAAAACTAATGAGACATGTATCTTCAATTTCCTCTGTGCACCCTTAAACTTCTTTACTTTGAATTAGCTTTCATGTCTATTGCTTTGTGAGTTCACCTCACCTCCAGGTGAAACCAATACAACCCAAATGCCGGTCCAGCAGGTTTCACTGCATCAGGCAGGAGTGGCAGCATCATTTGTACAAGTTGAGTTGATTATTCTCCACCAGTGTCTAATCTTGCCTGCAGCTGTGCTGCATTATTCCCTTCTCCATTAACTCTCTATACTTGACCTTTTGTCTTTGGCTCACTGGTTCCAACCCCCATCTTTAATCTGTGTAGGCGTAGGCTGCTCGTTCATTTCCACAGAAGATGAGAACCTGTGGATTCCTTCCAAGCTCTCTCAGGTTTTATGTGGATGTAGCTGCCCCATGTTGGGTGCCATTTGTAGGCAGAGATTGTTCTTTTGTTTCCCTGAATAATCACACAGAAACTATATTAATTACAAAACTGCTTGACCAATAGCTTAGACATCTTTCTAGTTAGCTCTTATATCTTCTTATTCTTATTAGCTCTTATAGATTTCTTATTAACTAATTCTTATATCTCAAATCAACCCATTTCTATTAATCTGTGCATTGCCATGAGGCTGTGGCTTTTCAGATAAGGTTCTGTTCTGGCATCTTTCTTCTTCGACAGCTACATAGCATCTCCTGACTTTGCCTACTTCCCTTCCCTTCCCTTCCCTTCTCTCTCTCTCTCTATATATATGTGTGTGTGTGTGTGTGTGTGTGTGTGTGTTCAGATTTCCCACCTGGCTTTGTTCTGCTAAGCCACTGGCCAAAATAGCTTTATTCATCAACCTATAAAAGCAACACAAGGACACCCAACATCAAATCTGTAGAACTTAAGCTGTCTTTAACCTGACCTCTCACTCTGCAGGCTTCTCACTTTATAACTTCTTATGGAGAAGCTTGATGGCTTCTTATCCCAGTTAAATTTAATGGGAGTTGATTGGCTTCGGTGAGGTTTATATAGGATTCCACTCACCTGTCCCCTCCAGCTAACAACATATCCCCAACTTTGTCACCTATGACCTTTACTCATGGATTTTGATTTCTGTGAGAAACCAAGAACCATTCTAAGATTTCATGTGATGACCGTTGTCTGACATCAGGGATCGCACCCAGAGTGTTGTGCAGGCCAGGGTAGTGCCATACCCCTGGAAAGTTCTGATGCCGGCAAATAGTTCATGTTTTCCACAAGACCAGCAGTCCTTGACCTCTGGGTTGCGACCTCTTTGGGAATCACATGTCAGATATTCTGCATATCAGATATTTACATTACAACTCATAACAGCAGCAAAATTACAGTCATGATGTAGCCATGGAAATAATTTTATGGTTGGGGGTGATTACTTCTTGAGGAACTGTATGAAAGGGCCTCAGCAACAGGAAGATTGAGAACCGCTGTGCTCGACTCCCACTTTGTGACTAGGGGCCTCTCTCAAGAGGTGCTTCAGACTAGCTGGAATGTCTCCCAGTGGTCACCGAGGTTATTTTCCATGTCCATGTCTTTTGTCCAACTTTAATTTTATTCCTACATTTCCCATGAAACAATAACATTAACAATTCCAGGATGGTAACTTAGTTTATTCTCAATCAAGTGAATAATTAATCTAATTATACTTAATATGGACTAACCTAATGCTTCTGAAATAGTTTTAGGTTGAACTTTTTTTTTTACATAAGTCATAAAAATAATTTTTTCCCAACAGCCTTTTCCAATAAAGAATAGTATGTTTTCTAGGTCTTCGGTCTGCCTTTTGCCCTGTGGGAAACAAATAAATAATATGGTTATAAAATTACCAATTACAGTTGAGAGTTTGGAGCCTACCATCTCAGAAGTATTAAACTGATGTCTGTTACCCGGCCTATGTGCATTTCAGAGTCCCGGAGCAGGAAGCTAGGATAATTAGCCTGTGGGCTTAAGAGATCTGGCTGTAGCACTCAGTGGGGTTCAGACAAGCTGGGCCTGAGCTGAGTTCCAGGGTCCCTAGCCAACATGCTGGATTAATTTATACTCAAGGGTAAAAATTAGGGTTACTTCTTGGTAGCCAGCCAGATTGCTGCACAGGTCCAAGCCGGGGATGTGGACTGGAAAGCGGCAGTCCTGCATTCTCCCTGTTTGCGCTGTGTGGTATGGGACTTGCTTCCGGGCTTCCCACCTGCACTTTTGTCCCAACTGCCCTTACCACGTGACTCTTATTTGAAGGCACATTTATGAATGGAAGTGTTAGTACCTCCTAAATTGAAGGCTCAAATTAAGAAACACATTTTTTCTACTCAGGCACAGGCCTGTTTCAAGATCTTTGAGCACCTCAGTTCTCTGCAAGACTCATCTTCAACAAATCCCTAACAATTTCCTTCCACTAGGACCATGTGGTCGATCATTCCCACAGCACACTGAATCACAAAGAGTTACCCTAAGAAAATAGTAGGAGAGCTGTCTTCTCTTTGGCTTCATTTGGCTTTTCTTAGGTCTGAAATCTCCTGTGACTTTCTTTCTTTCCATTGGTCCCTCAGCTATAAAAAGACCCCAAAAGATACCTTTATTGGACAGGCCTATGGATGCACAAAGAGCCTCAATTTAAAAAGGCAAAAGAGACCTGAGTTATGGCGAATGCTGAGTCCATACATCAGAACCTTTGCATGCTGCCTTTGTTGCTATCATGCCGGAGCACCATTTCAGGGGCACTGTGCTGCCATATTTGAGTCCTAAGCTGGCAGCTCCGCTGCTCAGAACCATTTGTCTTGTAGATATCCTTCTGTAACTCTGGACAGTGTTGCGTTTCCTGAGTCATTTGGGAGATCTGGCGATGAAAATCCCTTCCTTGAGATATGCCAGGGTTGCGCATTACCAGCAGGTCATGGCAGAGTAGTACATTTTCGGTTTAGGATCAAACCAGCTATTTAAAATAACAAAGAAATGTTTTTTTTTTTCCTTCATTAGGAGACAAGGTACCCATGAAAAACTTTCACATCAAGGGTTATTAATGTAGCTCAATTGGTAGAGTGCTTACCTAGCATACACAGGGCCCTAGGTTTGAACCCCAATACCTTACAAACTGGGTGCCATTGCTTATGGATATAATCTTAGCACTCCAAAGGTAGAGGCAAGAGGATCAAAAGTTCAAAGTCATCCTACTAAGTGCATTCAACTCAATAAAAGGGAAAAGAGCATCCAAGCTCTGGTGTGAATACCATCCATGTGTTCTTGTGGGTAAAAAAAAGTGTAGTTTTAAGTCAATAAATTTGGCATCAATAAGTATGAGGATAGTGACAATGAAAAAGTATAGCTTTATGTGAAAGAAAAGACATGACAAAAGACTAAGTGTTCACACTCCATTTCTGGAGATATTGAGAGATGATTGATTGGGTGTCATAGCTCAGGGGTTACATCTGATCTAAAGGACCTGGCCAATACACTTGTTGAACACATAAAACCAGGAAGCAAATGAGAGCCATCGATTATAAAAACAAATCCTAACTTCTGATTTCCTCAGAGACTCACTTCCAAACAGCTTTGTGTCGTGCCCCAAGAGCTGTCACTGAGAGGGGACACCAAGGACTTCCCCACAGCCGAATTGTGTGCAGTGAAGAGCAAGAGGCACTTCCAAGACATTTTCTGAGATGCAATCATGGCATATTTGAGGCCAAGAGGGGTCAGGAGGAACACAGATGGAGCAGATGGTTTGATTCACACGTGATGATTGTAGTGATGAGCCATGCGTGTGTCTGTTTTAGTTAGCGAGGACGTGGTTTGTGAGCCGGCACTGCCTCTAGAAAGTGAAAATGTGTTCAGAAGGCAAGGAAGGGCACAGTAGATGGTAACGGGAGGTGAATATAATCATAAATGGTGTCTACATGTATAGTACTGCCAAAAAAAACTAAGTGAATTTTGACAGAAATCCAGATATCAACATTTTTTTTTTTAGTACTCAGTTCTCACAAAACCAATCACATGTCACCTAGACCTATGTGCCGTAAGTCCTAACCCTACAATGTGTGGAACGATTAGAGGATGTACCAGAGGCTTTCTTGTACATGTAATCAATTACATGTTGCACATTACTGTACAAACTAAGCTGCGTTATTTATATCATGGTTATCAAACCTCATTATAAGATGACGTCATTCTGCATTCAATTTTGCTACAGCAGCTATTTCCTCAAATGACAATGGCTTTTTATAATAATGTGGGTGCATTTTTCAGTCTTATTTTTCATTATTATAAATAGTTGACTTAAGCAAGGAGGTTGGTTTCATTAAAGAAAGTCTCCTAATAATCTACAGCCCATGCCATACTTGATCTCGCTATCAGTCCTACCTAAGACAGTATCTTAACCAACCCAAAATTTGGGCCAACAGAACTAACTGCTATTTTGGATTTGCAAAAGACTCCAGGCAGTAGTTTCTTTTTTTTTTTTTTTTAATAAAATAGTGAATTATGCAACTTTCAATACAAGCAGTATTTAGAGACTTACTTGTCACAATTAATTGTTATAATTAATTCTGCATTTCAACTGGGTTCGCAAGGGCCATCTCTTATAGCAGTTGCATGAACAGCTTGAGTACTCACAGGAGATGTGGCCTCTGGTGATCCTCTGGGGAGGATCCATGAGAAACAAGCTAGAAAGGCCACTGGAGTGACAAGGGAAGAAAGAATTTGTACTCGGGAATTGCTCAGACCATGGCCACTCCAGAGTTGACTCTTCGTTCAAAGAGCACAGAGCAGGCATGAAGGAGGCCATGGTCTTCAGGAGCATTGTGTTCTACTTCTTTTTTTTTCCATAGGGACCTCAGAGTCTAGAGGGTCAGGGAGATGATGTAGATGAAGGAAGCTGTAGAGGAGACGAGTGCACACTAGAGAGCCCAGGTTCCCTCAGTTCCTGCTAGGGCCAACATGCAAGAGCTGGGTCTTGGATGCAGTTAGATTTTCTACTTGTTAAGAAAAGGGAGGGATCATAAACTGTCAAACCAATCACCTGAGTTTTAAATCCTAGTAAATAATGAAAAAAAGTAACTTTCTGGGCTCTTTAGGCCAAGTAAACCCTGAACACAGAGTAGATTTAGTCCATAGGTCTCCAAGTTGCAGCCTCCACCTTAGCGAGTCCTTGCAAATCCCCCTGACACCCACACGGTATACTCTGTATGCTTCATTGTGACAACACATCCGTATTTAGAAGAAAAAGTTCTTTGTCTTGTTACCATGGTAGCTTCTTCCTTCTTAATAATAAGCCAAATGATCCATATTTAAACCATGCTGGGGGCTGGTAAACGATTCAGTAGTGAAGAGTGAGCGCTGCTCTTGTAAAGGCCCTAGTTAGGTCCCTAGAACCCACGTTGTTCGGCTCATGACTGCATGTAAGTCCACCTCCAGAGGATGTAACACCCTCCTCTGGACTCTGTAGGCGCCTTCCCCCCCACCCACACTATAAAAATAAAATAACAGAAATCAATGCTAGTTAGTATAGAGCTTTGTGAGTTAAAAGATATCCAACAGCACTTTAAGGAAAACAAGCTATTCTGTTTTAATTCTGCACATCATAGAATCAGTTTTAGAAACATTTTTGGTTCAATAAAACCAAAAAGTTCATCTTCAAACATCTTCCCCTTTCATTTAAATCCCATGCACATCTAAAGAAAATGCAGTGTATCCGTTTCTGGTTCATTTACATTAAATCATTAAGATTTTGTTTTATAGACTCCTTTTGATGTCTGAGATGCTTCTGGAATGCGTTCAAAAGCATTTTAATCTTCTTCCTGTGTAGTCACATTTTGACCAATATAAACAAGTTCAAACACCAAAGGGCCCAACTTCTAGGCTACAGCCCAAAACTTGCAGTCTGTGAATTCTACACGAGACATAAATGAACTCTTCTTCCCATAATTATTTGCTATCTCCATTGATTCTATCCCGGAGAGAGGATGAAATAAACTCATCAAGCCAAGATTTTTCCATTTTCACGATCATCGGGCATAGAATCTGTCCATTTGGGGCTAAATCCTTAGACTCTTAAAAAAGCATGAACTTGGTCCTAGAGCTCAGAGCTCCTGCAAGCTGTTGCTGAGAATGCACGCTTGGTGGAGGCTGAGAAGATGTGCCAGATGGGAAAGGAATAGATATTTATGAGATGCTTCTTTATGCAGAGAAGACACATGCCACTTTCTGTTCATATTCAAACAGACAAAATAGGTCTTCCGTGAGAGATAGGGCTCTCCCCACATTACCAAGCTGTCACTTAAAATACAGTTTTGATTAATATCACTTGCAAATTGAATACTGACTTGGTTCCGTTCCTTCCAGCAGGAAATGCAGCTCCATGGGGATACCAGGCAAAGAACACGTGTAAACCCTTGGGAATGGACATTGATGAAATGACCCAAAACACGATTATTCCTTGCTACTTCCTGACATCTATTCCTTAAATCCCCAAACTAACAGTTCTCTGAATTTATGGTTTCTGAAAATGTTCAAGGGGTTTTCAGACCCCTTGCATGGCTCCCCAGAAAGTGCAGAAGGGAGGGATTTCAAAGATGTGCTCGAGTGGGTCAGCCAAGGTTCACTCCTTGAGATCTCGCAGATATTTATTAGGAGTTCATGGGAGGGGATGCTCGTTTCTGGAGCCGTGGGATGGATTTTCCAAAACAAAAGCTGCAGGTACTTTTAAGTCTGTGGCTAGACTGAGCTAAGCTCCTCGTTGGTGATAGGATTATTCAAATGCAGGGTGTCTAGTTTACACAGCGGCCATGGAGCACAACAGGACAGGAAGTGGGGAGCATGCCAGCAAGCTTTCCAAGGAACATACTTCCTCAGGCTGGAGAAGCATCAGTTGGATAACCCCACCATCTCCACAAGGTAGATGCCCTACTAGAAGCGACAGGAGAGTGGCTTTCGGAACCCCATCTAGACACACAGTAAGGGAAGGGGTACAGTTTACCCGTTTGTGAGAGAGTGTGCACATTGATGCCTATGCTCCCCTGGCCCCTTTAGCTTCCATGGGGCTGAAAGTGCTTATAAAGACTCGGTCAGAACCTTGGCAAACGTCTGTTGGCAATGGTGTGTAAATCACTGTGCGAGGCATCGGGCTGTCCAGGGCATACTCATGGTTGATTCTTCTGTTTGTCCTGTGATACACGGCATAAACTCACCTTATATTGTGGGAGGTGGAGGCAAAGAAATGTATGCTTCCTGCTTTTCAGACTCACGTGTGTGGCAATCAAAGATATGCATTTCCTGGAGAAGAATTTAAATTTTTACAAAAAACTAAATGTGATGGTAATCCCTTAAATTTCTTTAAGAATGCAGTGTCTGGTGAGTTGACCACACTCCAGGGGAAGGCCATATATCCCAGAATATGTGGACAGCACAAATTAGACTTGATTGGTATTTTAAAAGAAAAAGAAGGATGATATGAAGTTGGGTGGGTAGAGAAAGGAAATTAATTGATCTGAGAGAAGTTGGTGGGGGGATGAACATGATCATTACACATTGTATGAATACTCAACTCATTGAAAAATGCTTCTCATTGTATACATTTGCCGCATAGGGTACTGTGATTATAAGGATGACATCACACGGATGTACATCACACTCTGAGCACATAAAGAAGCAACACGCGTGCCACGTGTGAAGAACGAAGCTCTTGGGCAAATGGCCTTCTGCTTGCCCGCTACAGCTTTGCCATTGAAGGTGATTTCTTCTCCACCCCCAGTTTCTTACCTCTTCTCCCAGCCCCCAGTCAACCTTCAACAAATGTTGAGGGAACACGCCATTGAAAGTCCAAACCAGTTGAAACAGCAGAGAAAAAAACACAACAGAATCCGGGCAGAGACAAGGTTGTTGTTCTACTCCTTAAAACTGAGATTATGGGGAAATTATTAAAACTATATTACAAAGCAAAATCTCAACTTTGTCTATTTCACAGACTCTAGTGAAAAGAGAAATCATTGCTTCATGTTAAAATTGGATGACAAATAGCTATGTAGATAATAAATACCCCTTAGAAATGATAGCATTTTAATTGTCTTATAGAACATTATAGAATAAATCCTCACTGATTTAAAAAAGCTATAATAATTACAACATTGCATAGGTCAAGCACGATATGAAATCAGTCTTATAAGATTATTATTTCCTTTTGATAGATGAAAATATTGAGACTCAGGGACTGGAGAGATGGCTCAGTGGTTAAGAGCACTGGCTGCTCTTCCAGAGGTACTGAGTTCAATTCCCAGCAACCACATGGTGGCTCACAACCATCTGCAATGAGATCTGGTGCCCTCCTCTGGCGTGTGGGCATGCATGGAGGCAGAATGTTGTATACATAATAAAGAAATAAATCTTAAAATAAAATTGAGACTCAAAGAAGTTAAGTCACTTGCCCAGTATCACTTAGTTTATGGAATGATGAGACCAGGATTCAATGCCAGATTGCCTGACTGTGGAATCTTTGCCCTCCACCGTGACAGCTCAGCTCCTTGCTAACATGTACCACTGAACTGGAAGACAAAGAGGCAGGCAGTGTCAGCTGCCAGGCCCCATCCTCTTTCTACACTGGTGTGGAAAGACACCGTGAAGAAGCAGCTATGAGCAATAGCAGCAGCTGTAAAGCCCCTTTTCGGAGTAAATAGATCAGAGAAGCAAATCGTGTCCTGGATAAGTCCAGAAAGCACAGAATGTGCTCAAAGCCTTCAACTGACTGGGCTCAGGCTCAGCCAGCAACAGTGCCAGGCCTAAGCCAGGCTGGGAACAAACCCCAAAGCAGATATCACAGCAGCTGTGCCGGGTGACGTCACTCAACATGCTTGGTGCCCATCCATGCTGCCTGGAGATACCGCATCACCAGCAGAGGTGACACACCCAACGCCTGCTCCCCTGGGATGCCGGGAATGCAAGAGCAATGGTCACTGACTTCATTCCGAAATGGCATCTGGCTCTGGAATCCCTTTCTATCCCGATCTTAGCACGAAGACAAGCTCATTCCTCCATGGTCCTTCCTCTCCTTTCCCTGAATCTGTCACAAATTTCTGCAATGTTTCAGGCTTGTTAGACTCTCCCTTATTAAAAACAGTATGAGGGGGCTTGGCAGGATGGTTCAGTGGGTAGTGGCACTTGCCACCAATCCTGTTAATCAGAGTTCTTGCCCCAGGTCTTACATGGTGGAAGGAGAGAACTGTTTGCCACAGGTTGCCCACTGGTACCATAGCACAGTGCCCCCACACACAAACATATACAAAGTCATACATGCACGCATTCGTACATACACATTCTTTTCAAAGCAATAAGAAGGGAGAAGCTTTCTCCTCAGTTCTAAAGAGTACACAAGCTTTTAAGTCCTCTCAGCTCTTTGAAAATGATTTAGCAAGTTTCCGGCAGGAATAGCAAAATAGAGCGTTTTCCCAAGTGAGCACCACTGGACACATCTGGTTTGGGGAGAGAAGGGATGAGCGAATCTGCCTTCACACACTGAGCCGTGGATAAAGACAGATGACTGCTAGGTGTGGTCTAGACTGCCACACACCCAGGGATCAGCAGAGATCAAGGCTGGGGAGCCAGACTGAAAGACACACGGAACCGCGGGGTAAAGTTAAACTGCGAAGACAAAATCACAGCCGCATAGAAGCAAAGATCAAGGAGCAGTGTGGGTGACCCTTCTTCCTCTCCCTGGGTGCACCCTGGGTACTCCTAAGAACCCTTGGCCCCAGCCCTGGGAGGGGAAAGCGCTGCTCAGAGACTTCCACTGCTTGTATTCTGCTACCCTGCCAACCAATTCTCCACAGCTCTCTTGAAATGCTGTCAAAATAAAGATTTGTGAAATTGGGGTAAACTTGAAGTTATGAGCTTTCAAGAGACACGCATAGAGGCAGCATAGTGTTTTGTATTTTGCATCTTTCGGAACTATTCATACGAAGCAGTAGTCTGTCACACAACTATCATTTTTCAGCTTTTAAAATGTATTCCACCATTCTAATAGAAAGCATAAACTTCAAATCTGCAAAATACTGTCTGCATGCACTTGAGTTTCCTGTCTCAGTGCTCCTAGATTAGAAGTCTGAGTAACAGGAATCCTCCCCGCTGCTGCTGCCCTGGTGGCATTGGTCTACCCCTTGAAGAAGAAATAGGAGTTGAGTATGGAAACTAACAGGTGTTGCAATACCCCCCACAATAACCCAAGGCCCACGGAGCCAGCTTCGGTACTCCCATCTGAAGGTGGAGCAGAGGGAGTGATGAGAAGCTGTGTAGCTGCAGGAGGACCCCAGTGGTGACAGAGAGCACCAGCGGCCACGGTTGAATAGCTGAACCTTGGCCAGGCAGAGAGCCACTGGAAAGAGTCCAGGCCAAAGCAGGAATGTGGCTGAAGGATGCCAGCTCTGCAGGAGACAGCAGCTGCAAATGGCCAAGGCCAAGGTGGGGTGGCTGGGGTCAGGGTAGTGGAACACAGACACCCCGGGAGCCGGCGTGTGGGTAGCAGAGGCAGGGAGAAGCAATGGCTCCACTCTCTCTCACGGCTGCATAGCTACCGCTCCTCTGACAATTCCGTATGTACCCGAGGACCACGAAGGGTCCTAGGTGAGGTTTCCAGACTGTGGGCAGCAATATTGACATTGCCGTATTATTTCATTTGAGTCCATACACTGGTGCACTGAGGTTATCTGAGCTATAAATAAAACCCATGGATTACAGAGCAGTTAAAAAAGCAGCTGTTTGCTTATTCTATGTGCACACATATGCATGTGTGTATGTGGGAATATAAACAGCACAGCCCGGCAGAACACATTTGCAATTAATTTTAAATTACTAAGTATTAATGGATGATTTTAAGATGCTTGTACACAATTTGTCCTCAAGAATTTTCATATTTGAACTCCCCTGGGACTCCCTCTAATCTTATTTACATTGTTCATTTGCTTAGCAAATATTCTCTAGCTAATGTCATATTTGCAAGTGCTCCTGGCTGATGCAGCTGCAGAGACCGGAGCTCCGGGGTAAACACAAACATATGGAGTCCAGAGGAGCAGGGTCGGACAGCTTCACGGAGGTCAGTTTCCTGGAGGGGACAGGATTTCCACTGTCTTAATTGGAGTTCTCAAAAGAAACAGAATCAGCTGGGAACTCTAAGCACACATAAATGCACATATGCCCATGCATATATACATATATATACATATATACATATGTATATATAATACTTACTATGTCACAGAAAGACAGACAGAAAGAAAACAGAACAACCAAAAATGTCTCAAGATGAATGTCCTCTAAGTCTTTGAGTCTCCCAGTTGAGAAGTACTAGTTTAGATACTCACTACTGTAAATGGTAGTTTCTGTCCTGCCTGGTCCCACAGCCGTTCAGTTCCAAAGAATCGCACAGAAACTTTATTAACTATAACACTGTTTGGCCTATTAGCTCAGGTTTCTTATTAACCAACTCTTACATCTTAAATTAACACATTTCTATTATTTTATATTTTGCCACAAGGCTCGTGGTTTGTTACTTCTTGCTTTTTGGGCAGCTACATGGCATCTCCCTGACTCCACCTTCTTTCTCTCTATATCTTTGTTTGGATTTCCTGCCAAGCTATATTCTGCCCTGCCATAGACCAAAGCAGCTTCTTTATTACCCAATGGTACTAAAACATATTCATAGCATACAGAGGGGAATCCCACATTACTCTACCCAGTAAACAGAAGCACAAGTAGCTCTTAGATGCCTGGCAAAATCTCCAGGCCAGCCTAGACCTTTTGAATAATCATCTGCATTTTAATAGGGTCCCTGTGTGACTTGTCAGCATGCTGAACTCTGTTGACACTTGACTCTGAGATGGCCTGCTTAACCAGAATACTGTTAAACCTCTATCATGAACAAAGCATTATATCTCACTGTGGGGACAAACTGACAAATAAAATGGACGTAATGTTGGGTCTCATTTACACCCCAAGACTATACTTGTTTAGCTGAGCTCAGTGATGTATTATTGTACAACTATCCTCACACATGTACATGCTAGCAAATACGTGGTCAAAAATGTTCTTATTTACATGTTTAGATATCCATAGTGTATCTTGTCAAGTGAAAAAGCACATTCCAGAATGGTGTACACAAGACAAGGTGATCTGTTCCGCAGACACAAACGAATTGAAATGGTATGCATATAAATAATATCTGAATATTATAAGCAAGAAGATGTTCAGACTTCCTTAAGAAAGGGGGTGGTGGGTGATTTTTATCTTCTCTCTTACAAGATTTTCAGCATTTTCGTCCAATCTTTTGCAATAAGAACAGGCTATTTTAATAATTAGAAAAGACAAGAATCCCTTTTTCAGTTTTGCAGAAGATGACCTTCCTGGCTGCATCTGCTTTCCTCATAGTCTGGTCTTGCACGAAGGGGGTCCAAGGTTCATAAACCATGTCTGCACGATGCCTCGTCTGGCTAGAATTCACGTGTTCGCTCGTCTGGAGACAGGATCAGGACTAAAGGCAGATGTGATCCAAGTACCTGTGTTGGAGGCCTTTATAGCCCCTGGGGTGGGGGGAGTCTGAGAACTGTAACACCAAGTCTGTGCTCAAGTTCTGCTCCAGCTGAGGGAGCAGACAGCAGTGACTCAACTGTCCCATATCCTCTTGGCCGGGCTGCACTTCCCAGACCTCTTTGTGGTTCAGTTCGTTCTTGGGACTACTGAAACATTAGCAGAAGAGATGCAGGAGGTTCCACCTTGCTTGCCACCCACGTGATTGTCGCCACCCTCTGCTTGTGCTGAGTTGGTGATCATGGGGACCAGGAGATGCATAACAGAGCCAAGGGCCAGAAGATGCTGAGCCCCTGCTCCACGTGAAACAAAACAGGCTGCCATTTAAGAACATATTTTGGGTGTGATATAAGCATGAAATACTAAACCTGATCTGTTTAAGCCTTGTAGAGCGGGGGGGGGGGGTGTTGTTTGTTGCAGAATATTTGCATTAGGTTTTGAACAAAGTATGGCTGATGTGCAGCGGGAGGAGAAGCAGGAAACAGTTAACTTCAGTGTGCCTGGGGTCGGGTGGGGTTCCTCTTAAGGAAGATCAACAGATTGACAGAACTATTATTTACTTTATTCTCATATCCAGGTTTTTGGGGAACACCTCCTAGCATAGAGTATCTGCACAGTGGTGACTAGTGACAGTAGTGGTCAAACATTTGGTACAAATGGGGAGGCCCTGGGTTTCTAGTCTTTGTGGTTTCCTTTCCTGGCCTTGGACTTGTATATCAGTTACTTTTCTTACGTGCCACG